TCTTGAATCTGCGGCTGCTGGTGCACTCCAGCTGATTTAGTGAGGTTGCCATTAAATTTCCTCTCCTTGCACAAGGATGCAATTTAAAGGTTGCCACTTTTAAGTGGTTTTGGCCGTGGAATCCTCGACTTGAGAACAGTAGATTTTTCGAAATTAACTTATGTACATTTACGTCGTCTATCTAAGCAGTGAACGCTTACTCGTAATAAAATATTAAAGGTGAGCAGGTAGTTTCGTCAGGATATTTCAGGTCATCTTTTGGGAAGTTTATCGCTTCACCTCTACCATTTTTTATTTTATTAAGTATTTGCGAGTTATTAATACAATTGCGATGTCAGAATAGTTTAATGATTTTCACATGAATTCGTCATAAAATTTGCTTGTGATAGGCGAGCAGACCAATTTCAATTTTGTAACAACAAGCAAACGGCAGACGAAAGTTGTCTAATGATACCTAATGAGACCTAATTTATGGTTTTACTTTTTCCATCGTCTGATAGGGATAGAAAGAAAGCATGTAAATTTGAAGAAACGTTTTGTTTATGTATAGGTAATGGATTCTAGCCAATCTCTTTAATATAAGGATAAGAAAAATAATTGCAAAAATTTGCAGTCGCAGTTTTATTTATTTTTTTCATACATATCATAGTTCAGTGACTTTGCCAGAGTAGGTAGGTACTGCTTGGCTACCGCTCCTCTGTAGGGAAGATCGGGTGCAAATGAAACATTTTTTACTTGTGATGTTTTTCAAAAGCGACTTTTGAAAATTTTGAGTCAAATGCAATGCAATTAAAAAATATTTGGATATCCATATTTGTCTGTTTTACTGACAAATTCGCGATTTGTAGGGAATAAATCAAAAACATAGTAATAGATTTGCAAATGAAAAACTCTAGGAATGAAACTAAATAATACATTATTAAGTAATCGGTTTTTTGTCGCTATCACAAACAAAATCAATCACCCATGTTTTTTGGGAATAAAGAGTTTTCCTGGAGCAAATTCCTCAAAATTTCAATTGTGTTTCCGAAATCTTTCATTTAGTTCTTCGCTCTAGAATTTAAAGCTTTCCGATGCCGAATTTTGTCACATCTTATTGTGAACTGAGGAACAGCAGTAAAGGGTCTACGTGCGTTTATATATTAATTGTTCTGAGAAAATGAGCATAAAAGTTTCTTAAGGTTTTACAATTTTTATAAATATAGTAAAATGTCATGATTTGGTAATATCATAGCGAAAGCTAAAAAAAAAATAAAATACCTAAGTAAAACTTTAATATGGGCATGAAAACAAAGTCGTGATTACGGAATTACCTACAACTTTCTAAAAGTGATAAATAATTGAAATGATTTAAGTCTAATTTATAGATTTACATTTACGTCGTAACTGATGCAACTTTTACCTGGACGGATTAGTTAGATTCAAATATATTTTTTAATACCTTGATTTAATTATTTGACTTCACTATTACATATACCTAGTGTTGTTGCGACTTTTTACCTCTTAAAACAATTGAAAGCATAAAAAATTAAAAACGAATATGCAATCACAAAGTGGAAGTGAAAACCTCTTTCTTTCACATCAGTCCCCACAGATGTGACCAACACACTTGAATTCTATTGTAACCTCTGTGGAATCCCCTTTGAATTTTGCAACTGTTTCTCTTTTTTTCTGGCCCCGTTGTAGAAACGGTATGATTTCGTCGCACATGTGGAAAAGGTGAATATACTGAAGGGCAACCAGACGACAGTGTCTCTGGACCTGATATATTACTGATCCCAAAAATGTTGAAGGAGATGTAGATCTTCAGTGAAATTTGGCTGAATATAATTCATCGAAATCGAAGTACTTTGGGTACTTTTAAACTTGCATTTAAGGGACGAATTTCCATGTAATTCAAATAGAAGTTTAATTAAACAGACTGCCTAATAATGATCCAGAATGATTTTATTTTGTTTATTAAGCTTTTATTTAATCTTAGATATTTTTATACTGTCATCATGCATATTGTTTTCCGGTCAGCTACAGTATTCACTTCTAGCACAAGCTATCCAGATAATTGCATAAAATTGCAATTCAACTTTTGCCTCGAATTTACTCTGAAGCCAAACGACAAAAATAGATAAGACCATAAATATGATAAATTTAGCTAGCAAATGCTAACTGAATTTAAGCTAATAATTAATGTAATGATCAACTGATTTGCAAGTATACGAGTATTGCCGATATGTGGCAACAATACGATTGCCATGAATGCGTGTATCCAAAATATAAATTAACTGCATATTTAAATTAAAACTCAACGTAAACTTCACTTATATTGTAATGAAGCTGGATGGTTTGAATCTGCGCTAAATAATTATCGAAAATCAATATGTTTTGATAGAATTTCAATAAAATTTGTTTTTTGTTGACCAATTGAACTTGAATCATGAAACATAAATATAGTATTCAAATTCACAGAAAACGTTCGTTGGTCGATAATTTATTGCTTTAATTGTTTGATTGAAGTTATGATCTTCGTAAAATGGCAAATATTTTTTTAATTGTTAAAATTAGTTACACTTTCGAAAGATCCTAATTCAATTTTACGATATGTATTTAGCTTGATGTGTGTTTTTTTAGTGCTTAAAAACCTTGGGTAGCTAAAAGTTCGCATTTGTTTCCAATTCGAAATTAACCTGAGTACTGGCAATTTATTTGAATACATTTTTCCGAATACTTCAAGAAACATTATATTCACTTAAATTTGTCAGAGCAGTAGTACATTACCTTGCAGTGAAAAGTCTTCATTCAGTTAAAACAGTTATAGAAAGTAATCACATATAACTGAAGAAGATTCACCCACATCAACTAAGAGTGAACTGGACTGACGCTGAAAAATAACTGTCACTAACCCACGATACTCTATATTGCATAACTAGAACTTCCAAATCTAATTAATATCCCGTGACATTCTCTTGGAGGGTTTCTTACAGGTATACATAATAGCGTTTTGTGTTCCGAAACTTTCTCTTTTCCTAAATGCCCTATTTTACCTCCAAATTTGAATATCATAAAGAATACGCAGACCGACACACCTAAAGTATAAGAATTTCAGTCACCTATACCTGAGGATATAATCTATTGTTGTGGGAAGCGAGGAAGCTTGGTCAGATAGTTCACATTTCGGTCCTTTTGGTTTAACGTTATTTGTTGAAGTTTTCTGCTCGAATATTCATTCCTTGACTATAATTGCAACTTGGAAGTGCGCTGATTTTGTATGAAAGTTATCTTTGCTGGCCATTGCTTAATAGAATTTTTGAATAATATCTTTCAGTTTTATGTAAGCTAAGCTGAATATTGGCTAAATGTTAAAAAGGAGAAATGGGCAACTTTCTTACCTAATTGAAATGAATATTAAAATGAGCATGTAAAACTTTTCGATTGGAACTTAAAATCAGAACAACTGATGAAATCGAGAAATCTTCATCAAACCACTTTGTTACTATTTTGAAACTTGTCGTTAATTGTTGCGTTAGGTTGGGCATTATTTTTAAGACAAAGTCTATTGTGTCTACCTTATTTTTGAAAGTAGTCGCTTATCTTAGCCTATAAAGCTCGCTCTCTCAGCGGTTAAAAGATTTCGGATACGCTGGTGTTGGTGGAAGGGTCAAAAGCCTTTGCAAGTTGTCGGTACAACCCATGGAGTTGTGGTGTAGGCAACCCAACGCTCGCGAATCTTTCGCATTCACCATGGGTCTTTTTGGGCGAATAAAATTGCTAATTTATTAACTATTTACAGTTGTTCCTGTGTCCTAGTTTCCGCATTTCAGCTTTTCATTATTTATTTTGTAACCGATGAAAGTGAATGGTTAGTCTGCTAATATATGAACATCTTTGTACATTCCAAGTATTTAAAATTTAAGAGCATTTATTCAAATTATTACAGTTTGATTGAACATCGTTTGAGGGTTTCCTAGAAACAACCTTTCGTAAGTTTTTTCAACAACGATTTCATTTCATTCACGATTCCACTGACCAAGAAGACATAAGCAGAAT